CCCTTCCAAGGCAAAACCCCCATTTCTCTGGGCAAAACTGCAGTGATTCCCCAGCCTGCAGCTGGGTTTGGGCCTGCAACCATCAAGGTAACTTGTCTGTGTGTTTCAATAACAAAAGGCCTTTCAACATTCCAAAGAAGTGCCCTGATGGATACTAAGCAGAAGCAGAAACACCAGAAGCACCTCAGGATGAAGCCCACAACCCCAGAGGCACAAATGGACCTTTCCTCATGGTCAGACTTCCCCAGCTCCCCAGTACCACTTTCTCCTGTGATGCTCTGCCCTCTTTGCCCACCTTTCTGGGCTGTGTGGGGGTAACATGGGCATGAAGCTGCCTTCCCTCTCCTTTAACATCCTCCTTAACACCTCTGGAGTGGTACCCTGGTATGGGACCCTCAGCATCACTCATAGAACAGCACCAAGTGGGAGCTCACCTCAGCTTCTCCATCCATTCCTTGGTATCTTTTCTTGCAGGAGGCTCTGAAAGCAGAGTTGATGAATGCAAAGGCACCGTGTTCCAACAGCTCCTGGTGTGCAGCCACCTCCTGCAGGGAACAGCCTACTCCACACAGGCTCCTTGCATCCCATTGCAACCGCACATTGGCATTCCACATCCCAAGCTTGGGTAAAGCCCCGAACAGTGCATCCTGCCCCTATCCTGGGTCTCCCAGCCCTGCAGAGTCAATGGGAGCCCAGCATAAACCTGCACCCATGTCCTTACCCAAAGCATCCACTCGCAAGGTGCATCCACAGCCAAGACAGCTTCAACCAGCGCCTTTAACATCTCCAGTTCTGTAGGGCAAACCCATACCCTCAGCCTCCTTTTTATAGGAGAAACTCAGCCAAAGGTTTTGAACCTCAATCAGGACTTAGGGAAGGAGAGGATTCAAGTCTGTGCACAGCCAGAGTGGTCCATGAAGGGGCAGGGTGACAGGGCTTAGGCTGTCCCCATGGGCACTGCATCCCACTAACAGCATCCAACATCGGACACGGCACACAGGTCCCTCTGCCAGGGCTGAGTGCTGCAGGTGACACTTCTGACACCAGAGATTCAGCCCTGGACCTGCCATCCTCAGGCACCATCCCCATCTCCCCTCCCTACTCCATCCCATAACGTACTCAGGTGTTAACGCACACAGAGCCGGCTGGTGCCTTGGACCCCAGCAGCCACAAAAGCAACGGAAAGTGAAACCAGAGCAAGGAGAAAGCTGGGAGAGAGGCCATGGGGATAATGCTGTGCACGATGCACGCACAGCATGGATACGGCACGGATACGGCACGGATACGGCACGGATACGGCACGGATACGCTCCGCTACCCCCGTGTCCCACCCTCACGGTAACGGATGGAGCTGAAATAACCATGGATGCTTTCACCCCTGCGGGGATAACTGCTCCCCCCCGGGTGCCGTGTGCCTGCAGGGCTGCCCCGGCCCGCAGATGGGGACTCAGGCAGCCAAAGCCAGTGCGCTGGAAATGGAAACTTCCCAGGAAGGGAGGAAATGGCTTCTGTCTGGGGCGTAACCAGCCCTCACCCTCCAACAACTTCATTTACGCTGCTGCATCCCTAAATAGCTCCTCGAAACAGCTGCTGGGAGCTCGCATCTCCTTCACCTCTGCTCCCCTCCTGGCCCGGGGAATGGGTTCATGCAGCTCCGAAAGTAATGACTGTGCAAAGTGATTCAAACAGAGGGGAAAACCTTCAGCCCTGCACAACCCTCTGACCGTAGGCAAGACTTCAGGAAGCCTCAAGAGGTTGGAGCTCTAAGGCTGGGATTGGAAACCATGAGCATCCAGTGGGTCTGGAGGCAGGGATGTGCTTGGGGTCCTTTCAGAGGAGTGATGCTGTACCAGGAGGGATGGTACCAGGCACAGTGGGGCTGGTTACCCGCTCCAGTGACCCAGAACTTGGTACCCGACCCGTTCACATCCCATGCCCAGGGATGGGGATGAACATGGAGAGCACACACACGGTATGACAAGATGTGCCCGGGAGAGGCGGGCGCACACAGGGGCTGGTGCCTGTGCTCAGCCAAAGCGCTGAGGTCAGCACTCCCCGGAGCCATCTGTTCCCAAGCAAAGCCCCGGCACACATGGACTGACCTGGGCTTCCGATGCCGCAATCCGTGGATCATGCGGTGAGGGGCTGGTGTAAAGCGCACACACCGCTTCTGTGGCCGCTTAGGATGGGGAACTGTGTTAGCCATGCCATGGAAAAGCTTTTCCAACCATTTTCTTGGTGGCATAAATGGCTTTCGAACAGCTCTTCACTGCCAGAGTCCTGGCTAGAGCCGGTTTCCCCTTGTTCCAGAGCACCGGCTCTAAACGCTCGTTTGAAAAGGCCAAGTTCATCAAGCAGCCCATTAGCAAAGCCAGCGGGAGCCTCCACGCTTGTCCCCTGGGGGTAACAAACGCAGCATCAACAGGAGCCTGCGGGGTGCCTCAGACCTGCTTCTTCCCTGGCTCGCTCCAAGTTCCCCAGCAGGAGCAAGGCAGAGCCCGGGGTAACAGAGGAATTGCCCTGCAGGAAGGGGAAAGCGAGGCCCAGCCGCACCAAGCAGCAGCAGGAGGCTGCAGAGACCCAACCGAGCCGCGTTCACTGTGCACCCACCCCACACCGTGGGGAGCCCTCTCTGCTCTGTACCCATCGCTCTCAGAGCAGAGGGAAGGGCTCAGCCTTGCTTGGCTGGTCTGGAGGCCAGCCCTCACCAGATGCTGATCTCCACCAGCTCTATGCAGTCTCATTAAGGTTAAGCTGAGCCGTAACTCATTGGAGCAGGGGAGTCCACGTTAAGAACCGGCAGTGATGACTTCCAACCTCCTTCCACTCACAGCATCACCTTCCTGGGGTGGGAAACGGCTTTGGAGGTGCCCCTTTGGCTGCTTGGGAAGTGGAGGGTGCAGGGGTGGCTGCTCCCTCATCCCTTGGACCACTACAATGGGGACATAACCTGGAGCAAACACAAGGTTATTCACACCTAAAAGCAGAACCTGAGTGTGAACAGGCCCCATGAGGGCCCAGGAAGGCAGAGCTGGGTCATCCCCCCAGCCCCGGGGGTGCCAGGCCACCCCTCCATCCCCACTCAGACCCTCTTTGCTCCCCATTACCGGCCTCCCAGCGCCACCTAACGACACAGCAACCGGGATAAGGCCCTTCCTGAGGAAGCCAGATGGATCCTAATCCCCAGAGAACAGGATGGAGAGCATCCATGGTGACTGGGGACACCTGGCTGGGGCCTGAGGATGCAGGCAGCAGAGGACGGGGGAGCTGGAGGTATTGAATAAGGAAGTGCAGACCCTGCCCTTCACTGACCTTGATCGTCTCATGGCTTCCCCACAGCCCAGCATAGATCCCAGGGCCTTGGCTGGGTTCTGTGCTGAGCAAGGACACTGGGATCAGCACAGACACTCCCCTTCATCTGTTACCGCAGCCCCAAAACTACCCCGAAGCATCACCAGTTTGGCAACAGCCATTTGCCACGTGCAGCACAAGCACCGTGACGGTATGACGGCTTCAAAAGCACCCAACAACAACATTCAAGGTGATGTGGAAGAAAACCCTATAGAAGAGCTGGCTCACCCCTTCCCGATACCTATGGATTTGATTCAGGCACAACTACGCCTTCACCATCACGATTCCGGCTGGGCCACGCACCAACAGAGCTGCTCCCTCCCTGAAATCCCCTTCAGCCTCCTTCCCAAAGAGCTTCTTCACCTCCGAACCCAGAGCTGATGCAGTCTCCCTAACGCTCAAGAGTTCAGTGTTAAGGCTGCATCCGCACCAAGAGGCACTGAGATCCCCATCACACAAGCAGCTGTTCCACAAAAGCTTTATTGCTTGTTTGCCTACGAGTTCCCAGGATCACATTTCCTGAGCTCCTTAATGAGCTCGCAAAGGAGACTGGAATAGGAAAGGAAAGGGGGGAAAAGGAGATGAGGGAAAGGAGATCTCCCTTCCCTATGGTTGGGCCAGAGATGGGGTGGGTGTACAGCACCCAGTGACCAAGCCGTCTACCATAGGAGAGGGCTTAGAGATGGAGGTTGAGTGTGGACCCGAGACAAACCCCACCAGCTTTGATTTCCCCTCTGCCTCCATCACAGAGGCACCAGTAACAACCATTTACACAGAGCCCCGCAGTGCTCCCATGGGGAGTGCAGGATGGTGAGGGCGGCCAGAGGAGGAGGCCATGCTGCCACAGCCCCTGTGCTGTGGATAAAGAGGAGATTATGGCTCACGGCTTGTAATCTGGCTTAAAACCTGACACCGTCACCGCAGTCAATTCGGGCTGAGAGAAGCATTTAATAAGCTTCAAAACCACACGGGCCAAAAACCAGAACCACACCAGTGAGGGAAGTAAAGCTCAAGGCAGGGCTTGCACCAGCCAGAGCCGGCCGGTACCAGCGAACACAGGATCCCTCATGATCCAGAACAAGGCAATGACACGCCTGTTATCCCAATCCACCCCAGGATCCAGAACCCAAGGCTCTGCTGGGGCTTAACTGTGGGAGGCAGAAAGCAAATTAATGCCCTTGTCTGTTTAGAGCTCACAAGCAGAGAGCAAACGGTGCCTCCCTGCACAAGGGGAGCTGCTTGCCTTGAGACGCGATGCTTGGCTGCTCCAAGAGGAAGGCATCACAGACAAAGAAGCCAGACTCAAGCAGCAGCTCCAATTTGGCTTTCCTGGAAGGGTTTATTTAAAACCAGCTATTACCCAAAGCAGCCTGCTCAGGCACCAGTGGCAAGGCAATGAAGCCATTGGGCTGGAGGCTTAAAGGGGAGGCAGCGAGACACAAGCAGGTTTCTCTGTCCATTTGCCATGGGGAAAGCCCCTGGCCAGGCCTCCTGCCAGGGACACGGCTCCCCTCACCTGCACCAGCCACTTCATTCACGCTTGAAGGACACCAGTGACCATTATCACCCCCAGGAGTGCCGGCTGGTGCAGCCAGCAGCCTCGGATACTTTGAGACATTCACTTTGGGTCATCATTACTAGAGAAGCTCGAGTGTCCCCTCTCCAGCACAGCCACAAGCTCTGTGCTCTAGGCCATGCTGTAACCCACTGGCCTTGCCTCAGGACAGCACCAGCTGGACCAGCACCACATTCCCACCGCTGGTGCTTCAGTGACCAATGATCCGCAGCATCTCCTGAAGATCCACGATCTTCTCTCGGGGTTTGCCAGCGGCTTTGCCTCGTGCCACTTCAGCAGCATCTATCTTCTCCCAGTCCGAGAAGGAAACAGGGCGGACCCCTGGGGTGATAGCGAGAGATGGGAGAGAGAACTTCACCAGGTAAAAACGAGCTCAGCCTCACCTCCCCATCAGCAGGGACCTGATGTGCCAGGGAAGCCTGCCCTTTCCTGACACGGCGCCAGACTTCAGCCTCACAAAGGAGTAATGATTTCTAACACCACAAGCAGGGGGATAGCAGGTTCCAGTCAACTTGGATCAGTCAGAGCTGTTAACAACTGCGAGCACGCCACCACCCCAGGGGACAAGTTCACTGTTAAGCCTCAGACAGTTAAGAGGCAAGACACACACACACTTTAATTGAATGCCTTTAAACACAGCAACAGCAAATTACTCTCTTGGGCATTTTAATCTTTCCCCCCAACTTACTTAGAAGGGTAACCAGGAAAACCACTCAAGAGCAATAGCTCGCTGCCTAGGCAGCTAACAGTGACATTTTACCCTAGGTCTGTGCTGCTTTTAATGGCCTTTCCCAGAAAGTGGTCATTAACCTTATCAATGACACAGAGTTTGATGGAATTCAAATCCCCCTTTCCCTTGGCTCTGGAGCAATGAAACGGCAGCACATTTCCATGGCTCACTCTGCTCCCAGAAGCGGCCCATAGGACTCCAGGAGGAATTCAGCTGTATAACACCTTCATGCTGGCTGCTACAGTGGCTCAGAGCCCCCCAAAACTGACCTCGGCTGCGCAGGATGCTCTCCATAGCTCCAAAGCCTTCTCTGGGGGTGGACACATCCAGCACGCCCCTCTGGAGATCCTCCAGCACAGACTGGGCAGTGTCAAAGCTGTCGTTCATGGTGGTGATGATCACACCCGTGGGTCCTCTCTTCACCCACCCGCTGCAGTACAAACCTGTATGGACACACAGAGCAGCCAGGCTCGGTTCAGCAGGGGGCTATGGATCCTCCCTGTCCATGGGCATCACATCAAGCTGTGGAAGAAGAAGCCACCCCTATGGTGGGAAGAGTGCAGCCCTTTGTCGATGCTGTCACAGGAGTCTGTGTACCTGCAGATGTACTAAGCAGCTGTATTGCTTTAGCAACAGACTCCAAGGCCCAGTAAAGTCCCCTTGTACAAAACCAGACTCCCCGAACACAAGCTGAGGACAAGCCAGGTCTTAACACTGACAGAGGCAGCTCATTTCCTGTTTCCACTCTCCTATTGAGGTGTGCAACCACCCTGTGTCCATGCCCTTGGTGAATGGGGCTTCCCATCCCACCAGCTGCACTCCCCATGTCCCACCCACATCCCTGTGGATACAGACCTGGGACACCCTCCACTCTGCCCGAGCTGTTGGGAATGATGCCACGCTGGGTGTCGAAGGGCACTGCTGGGTCCAGCGGCAGGCTCCGGTACCCGATGCTGCTGACCACCAGCCCACACTCCAGCTCCTCCATGTCTCCAGTAGGGATGGCTTTGGCAGAGTCACCTGAGCCCTGAGAGGGGAAGAAAGAGGCTGCTGACCATCAGTCACCAGATGCAGAACAGCCTCCTCCAGTCCCCTTGGGCATCCCTGATCCCAAAGGTCTTTCTGCAACAGCTCCCTTTAGAGGGGGAAAAGGCTCTTGGTGGTACTGGCTTCCCCAAGAGCCAACCCAACCAGGCAGGGAGGACAATGATGTCCCCCGAATGATTCCCAAGGGCTGGAGGGATGCAGCACTGTCCCACTCAGGCCATACCAAGCCCGTACCTCCAGGCGGGTCAGGGCCATGCGGATGCCCCTTGCCCGCCGCCCATCAGCAGTGGGCAGCACCTCCTGGGGACTGCGCTGGAACTTCAGCCCCCATTCCCGGGGGGCCATGGTCTCCACTGGCTTCTCCAGAGGCTTCTCCAGGGCCGTTTTCATCATCAGCTCAGTCAGGCGCTTCCTAGGCCTGGGGGCATCTAGAAGGAAAGAAAGAGAGAGCTTCAGGATGGGAACTACAGCACAAGGCGCATGGGATGCAGCACAGAGCCATGCCAAAGCAGTGTCATGCGAGTGCCCAGTTGGAGTTTGCCACGCTGATGGGCATGTGACACCTCTGAGATGACAAACTGCAACTCAAAGTGACCAGGATTGCTCCTGAGGCTTGAGGGCAGTGGGACATGTGAATCAAAGCCTGTGATTCTCCCATCTTGCTGGTGCTCAGAGGCAGCAGCCTGTGGAGAACAGCAAGCCTCTGGGCACCCTTGAACTCAATGTTTTCCTTTTAGCTCTGCAGAAAGCTCTTAAAAGATCTCCTGCAAGGTCACCCCAGCCCTCCTGAACCTCCTGTCCTCATTACCCAGAGCATAAGCATCACTCCCAAGCAGCAAAGTGGCTGCACAGAGAAACAGGCCTTGTCTTCATGGCACTCTAAGGATGATCCACACCACAGTCACCTTGCTTAACGCACCATGCATTAAGCACAAGGCAAGAGTTTCTCTGATGCACGTTGTGAGCATCTCGCCTGTCAAGGTGAGTCACCGTCAGGAGGACCACAGCACACTTCCTTCACCTTTAACAGCATCCTCGAAGCCTGTGAAGTCAGCAGGGTTCAGCACAGGCCTGGTACCAGGCAGGTTTATCATCTCCCGCAGCTCCTGGGGATTGCAGGCAGGAAGGTGTTACCCCCAGCACTGAGAGGTCACCCAGCAGCCCCAGGCCCCCTTCCCCAGTAGGTGAGGATAGGAGCATTTGGGTGCAGGAAGGATGCCTGGGCTCCTCACCCACCCCTGGACCACCTCTCCCCACCAGGGATGGGAAACACATCTGCCCTCCAGCACCCCCAGCCTTACCTTGATAGTGAAAGCCACTTGGAGAGGTCCCCTCCTCCCGACCAGCCAGACACGCTTCACCTTGCTGCAGGCAAGAGCTGCCAAGGAGCCGTCAGTGATGTCTGTCTTCTGCAGAGCAGAGATGGGAGAGTGGGATGAGGGCAAACCCGGAGGGAGCTGAGGGGGAAGGCACAGCCTCTGAAGGTGAACAATCAGCAGAAAAGCAGGCTGTGCATGCAGAGATGGGCAAGGACTGAAAACAACCCATCTCCCATTGCACAGAGCTATTTGCACAGCTGGTCCCCCGTCACTGAATGTGCTTTCCGAGGCCATAATGCACTAGAGGCAACGAGCCAGCCCCCTGGGAGCTTGCCTCGGGGGATCCACCCCAGCAGGTTAACCTTGGGGCTAATGGAGCGAAGCCTTCCAGTGAGCTCCATTGTGGGATGCCTGCAGATGCTGCTGGGTGATTTCCCAGCTCAGAATATACAGGCATGTGGGTGAAACCCACTGCAAACCACAGCTCAGTCAGTGCCAGCCCACCCCAGGCAGCTCCGAGCACACACACAGGCATTGCATGGGCTCAATGGTGGGCATCTTGCAGCAACCCTGTGCTCCCTCTCACTTGTGGGCATGTATCTAGGAAGATCCAGAGAAGACACAATGGGAGGGACACCAGGATGAACCATTCCAGACCAATATTCCTAAATTGCCTGCACCCCATGGCACTCAATTCCAGCGCCAAGTCCTTCCCAGCACTGCTTCCCAGCTGGCTTTAGCCACTGGTTGGAAGTGCCTCCAAGTTGTTGTTGGGTCTTTTTAATTTAGCTTTAATTTAATGTAGATATTAATACAGGAAGTCATTGCCTGAATGTGAAACCTCATGGCATTTCTCTAGGAGGAAGAGCCTTTGCTGCCAACATCTGGGGCAGGAGCTCTATGGGGCTCCCAGCCACAAAGGAGCATGGCAGCAGGAGAGGTTCACCAGCTTGGATCAGTCACCACTGTGCCCAGTGCTAGCAGCACAATCCAGGCTGCTGCCCTCAGCTACAGCAGGAAAAGACCCATCCCAACAGCAGAAGCTTCTGCTTTGGTGGTGGAATAGGGCAAGCAGCTCCTCCTTTGCTTCTCATAAGGGATGAAGCTCAAATGCCAACTTTTTAGGTAGCAGCAGGTCAAACCAGAGAACTCTGCAGTGTTACCCAAGGCACGGCTGGAGCCTTGGATCACTCCTATGGACTGTGAATCCATGGGGAGCAGCCTTCCCTAAGGAAAGATCCCAAAGACAGGAGAGCCTGAGGTCCTGCTGAGATGGGCAGGAAGCAGCACCCATCCAGCAGGGAGTGAATGTGGGCCCTGGGCTGCCTTTGTCCCTAGGACTCACCCTGAGGAGCTGCAGTGGGGACAGGAGGATCCGGGCAATATCCAGAGCCACATTGCCATGACCCAGAATCAGCGCTGTCTCACAGCTCAGGTCAGGATTCAGCTGCCAAGACAGACCCAGCTGTGAGCACGATGGCCTCAGACCCGCTCCCACCACCCAAATTCCCTTCCATCCCTCTTTTCCCCCAAAAAAGAATAGGGAAACTCCTCACCCAAGCAGCAAAACAGCAGCTCCAGGTACCCCAACCAACCCCTCTCCCCTTCTTCCTATGATGGCATCTCTGGGAGAAGGAGCTGTTCTCAGCCAAGAAAACCTCCCCAGGTCAAAGCACAGCATCACACTCCCAGGTTCCCATCTGGCCCAGCCAAAATGCGCTGCCAACCTCCAGAGCCAGCTAATCCGCTCTCACTGATGTGCAAAGTGTTCACATTTCTACCATCTAAGAAGGATTTAACATGGTGCCTGCTAATCTTTTCCAATTGCAGGTCTTTCAGGACTTAATCTGGAGCTGAATGCCTGCATTTGGAAGCAGGATGGGGAGGAAGGGCAGGGATGGTGGCTGTACTCACGTCCTGGTTCTCCGGCAGCCCGTTGTACCAGCCCACGAATGCTCGGGCTGAATACACACCAGAGAGGTTCTCCCCTGGGATGCCCAGGACCCGGTTATCTTCAGCACCATAACTCTGAGGACGGAAGGGACGTGGTCAGAGATGTCACCGTGTGCAGGGGGTGATACCACACCACAAACCTCCCCTTCCAGCTGCTGCCAGGGACACTGCACCACTGCAAACCCCTCCCAGGGGCTGGGATGCTCAGTGGAGGAGCTAAACACAGCCCAAGCACAGGCGTTTCATCCACCCCATCTCCATGGGCTCCAGAGCCAGACTCGACCTCCCTGAGCCAAGGCACAGCACAACAAGGACTGAACAGGAAGCACAAATCCATGTCGGGCTGAAATAGGTATTGGCCATCGCAGGGAAGAGGCTCCTCAACCACAGCAGGGTCTCAGAGACCTGTATTTGATGCCACGCTCTAACACATGCTCCCATCCTGAGCTGTCCCAGGCATGGGGACAGTCCACTATAGTGATAAAGCCCCCAGAAACACCTCACCCAAACGCTCATCCCAAGACCCCGGGGTGGGATCACCCCACAGAACCTCCCCCATGAGCACAGGCCGTGGTACCCACCAGCACCACAGCGTGGTACGCCTGCCGCAGCTCTGCCACCGTCACATCCCTGCCCACGCTGACGTTGCCATGGTAGGAGCAGCGCCCCGAGCGCGCTGTCTGCGTGAAGGTGTTGATCACGTTCTGCACACACCAAACAAGCACCAGGGAGTTAAGGGCAAGGCCCAGCGGCCAAGGCCTGCTCCTGTCCCCCCCAGCCTTGGGATGCGTCAGCCTCTCGCCCAGGCGGTTGTTCTGAGGCTCTTATCTAACACCAGCCACAGATAACTCATGGGCAGATAAGCACAGGCTGGGACTTGGCGCTCGCTTTTTCCATCACCCTGTGTGGAGTGGAAAATCCATCTTCTGCAGGACAGGGCCCCTCCAATGCCTTTGGCACCTCTGAGCAAGCTCACTGTAGGAGAAAACTGCTTCTCCAAAGTGGGGCTTGCAAGGGAGTCCAACCAAACCACCCCTTCCATTGAGGGTGCTGCCTGCCAGCCCTCCTCTGCCAGCCTCTCATCTCAGCCCTTCCCAACCCCACTTCAGTGAGAGGGCACAGGGCAGGATGGTGCCCAAACCCTTTTCTGCTGAGCAATCAGGGCTCCAGAGCAAAACCACTCCTTCCCCTGCAGCTCCAACTGGGCTCAGCCTGGTAACAGGATGGATACCAGCACACTGCAGACACTGCCCCAGACCCACATCTTTATGTCCACTCCTACAGCCCAACTCCACCACCGCCAACAGCAGATCTCTGCTCCCAAATGCCTTGCCTGTACCCACCACCATCACATTGAACCGCATCGGCAAGGGGAGGAAGCCAGCACCAACCTTGACTTCAGGGTGATCTGGGGCCACCCCAAACCGGACGAGCCCAAAGGGAACAGGCAGCTTTTCATAGATGTCCACTTGTGCCCCACCATGGTGCTGCAGGAGAAGGAGGTCACGGTTAAGGGATGAGGACAGAAAGGCCACATGAGCCCAGCAGCTCCAGAGGGACACACAAGGCTTTGCTGCTGGGGAAGACACAAGCAGGAGGAAGATCCAGCACTAAGATCCACAGTCAGCCTCTTCCGGACCCTTCCATGCACAGAATGATGCTGTACCTGGTACTGCCAGCTCAGATCACACGGTGTAGTAAAGCATGACCTTAACCACCATCAAGCACATCTCATGAGGGGCTCCATCCTCCTGCCCACCCCACAGCTCCTCTTCCACACTAACCCAGCAGCTACCCAGTACCAGGGGGGCTGACAAGGAGCCCCCACACTGGGTGGGAAGCAGCCAGCACTGGGTGCTGGTGGACCCCAGGCTGTCTGCCAGCCCCTAGCAGAGGTCAGCTACAGAGAGATGCTCTGCTGCAAGGCTTCTGTTATCTCGTATTTGAGTCTGACTCGGAGATTAAGCAGCCCTGAAATGTGTCCCTGAGGCTCAGTAACAGCTATTTTCCAACACAACTGGAGACAACACAGCAGTTTAATGACGGGGTTCAGCTGCTGCATCTCTGCTCCGTGCCAACAGTTTTGGGCTCAGGTCTCATTTCCCATTAGAAACCTGAGTGCCCAAAGCACTAAAAACCTTCACAGGTGCCAGGGAAAGGGTCACCTGCGTGCCTTAACTCAGGTGGGGGATGAGGAGGCAGGTTCTGCACGCTAACACACAGTTAATGTCATCCTATTGGGGGCCAACAGCTATAAGCAGGCAGACCTCTGATGCTATAGAAACCACCTGGGCTGAACTCACAGCATCACGGCTTGGGTCTGGACCAGGGGCACGGCAGGGATGGAGACAGCAGCACCTAAAAGGGGCTCAGGAGGACTCTGTGGCATCTGTGCTGCCCCAAGCACTCCCCCAACCCCACAGAGCTGCCTCCCCAGCCTGCTTCAAGCCCAGCAGCCTGCAGACCCCCCTCATCCCCTACCGAAGCCCTACCCTGGTACCTTCAGGATGTGCTGAGCCGTGTAGAAGCCCGCGGGCCCGCTGCCCACCACGCAGACCCGGGGAGCCGCGGCAGCCGAGCACAGCCACCGCCGGAGGCCTGGAGGGGGAAAGGACAAGGAGGAGGTGAGGTGCGGGACGGGCTCACCCCAGCCCAGCATCGCCCTCCCCTGGCGCCCCGCACGGACCCAGCGGGGCGCGTCCCCCCGCCGCAGCCATCGTGTGCAGCCGGTGCCGGCGGCCGCCCGCGGTTTAATACCCCCGGTGCGAGGCGGAAACCATCTGGGGGGGGGTCAAGGCTGCGGCCCCCGCGCTCGGCCAAGCCCGTGGCCTTGGTGCTGACGGCGGAGCCGGGCTCGGTGGGGACGGGGGGGGGGGGTGCAGCTGGCGCCAGGAGGCGCCGCAACAGGGACCCCGTGAACGGGAGGATTCCGGTCCCGCATCCCTCCCTTCTCCAGGGCTGGAGCACGGCGCTGCCGCTCCCGGCTCTCGCAGTCACTCAGCCGCACAGCCCCGGTTCACCCGGTCCCTGTTCCCGCAGCCCCGGTTGTACCGGTAGCCCCAGTCCCAGACCCGGCTGTGCCGGTGCCCCCCGCGCTCCCGGGACACGCTCGCCTCGCCCCGCCCCTCACCGCCCGGGACGCCGCCGCCGCCGCGCCTCCAGCATGCACCGCCCGGTCCCATCCCGGCCGCAGCTGTCCCCGCCCCTCCTCCCAGCAGACCAATCACGAACCGCGATCGCGGATTTATTAGCATAACCCCGCCTCCACACCGCCACGTGGCCACGCCCACTCCACCCTCAGCCAATGGCAGCGTGCCGTTGCCTCTAGGGCTGTCCGGAAATGGGAAATACCATAGAGATAGAGAAGGAGAGGCCGTCTAGTGGCCGCCCTCGCCACAGCTCTCTATGGCGAAGCCTCCGCGGTGCTCTGCTTGCTGCCCGGGGCAGCAGCATCCCTGCGGCTGCTAATTGCGAGTGCCCTTTAATTGCCAAGAGTGATTAACTGCGGAGATCTCCCGGGGAAAAACAGCAGCTCAGACTGATTAATCCTCCCCCTGTGCAGCCGTCAGCCTCCCGCACAGAGAAACCCACAGCACCCCCTCAATAAAGGATAAAGCATTAGTGTCAGAGCCCCTGCCCCAGCCTCCCCACTGTCCCTGCTTTATTTCCTCCTTAATCCCATCACTTGGCTCGTTCCAAATAGAACTACTCTCCATTGGCATGCAGAAGGACCCAGACCTTCTTCAGCCCCTGTGTGATACACCAGGCAGGAAAAGCATCTCAGTGGGACCGGGAGATGTTGAAGGGTTGTACAGATGCCAAAGCACGTAGGCGAGCATTAATGGGGCTTTTTAAAAGCAATTAAGACCAAGAGGAGTGTACAGCTAGAAGCTGGTCTTAATAAGGGTCATAAACCCCACATGCTTTACGCATGGATTTGGGAATTAGTTCACGGCTTTCTGAGCGCTGAGAACAGCAGCTGGGCACGTACCCCATCTGCACCCACTCCTTCGGGGGGGGGTTGCAGGGAGGACCAGGATTTCCAACAGCTTTAAAGCCTGTTTCCCAAGACCCCAGCTTCAGCTCAACACGGTAATCGCCAACCCCTGCCCAGAGAGGCGAGGCTGGAGGCTCCATTCCGAATATCATCACTGATATCACCCACAAGAAGAGCTGAGCTTGAATCTGAGGCATCTTTTGAGGCAGGAATTTGGAAGGTTCTGAGCACAGGCTCCCCATTAACCCCCGCTGTACCTGTCACTTCTGAAAGGGAATAATCCCCATGTCTCCCAAATCACAAATCATCTCCCGACTGGCTGAAGGACCTGCAATCAGTTGCCTTTAGATGGCACTGCGTTAAACAACACCCATGAAATCCAGCCCTGGAAAGGGCTGTTGCTCCCTCCAGTGCTTAGAAACGGTTTTGGACCAATTTCTTTGCAACAGGGGAGGAGAAAGAGCGTTTTGTACCCACAAAACGCATGGGGCTGAGATTATCCCAACTGAAAGCACCTCTAATGCATCCCCCTCTTTGCTGGGGCACTTATTCATTCAGCTTAATTAACAAACTAATCATGAGGGCTCTGGGGGGGGTGGGGGGGTGTCTCTGCCATCCCTGAGCCCTGGGTGATCCCCTCAACCACTTGGGCCATTTGGTCCAGCCCCCCGTTTCTCCCCAGCCTACACACCCCGTATAACCCGTCCTCAAAGGGCAAAGATTCGCCCTTTGGATGTTGCACAACATCCTGGATCAATAAACCCTGCATGGGGCCAGTTAGGGGTGACACAGCAATGCCACCAGCCCAGGGCATCAGCATCCCCTGGGTCTCAGCCCGGGATAAATCAGTAATTCCCTATTCCTGAGGCCAAAAGGGTCACACTGGACAGATCCAAGGCCAGCTTTCCCTGCCCCCAAGTCTGGATCTGCTACACAGGGACACACCACAGCCATCGAGCTCCAGCCCTGTGTCACAGCATCCACATGAGAACCCTTCTCCATTGGGTCTGAGGATAGCCCCGAACAGGGTGAGGGTCTTTCCCCCACCTTTGAGCACCACTGGATACCAGTAGACTTGCTCCAGCAACAAACCCCAATAACAAAGAAGCTCCATCCCAACGCGTTAAGGCTGAATTTGCCAAATCATTGTTCCTAGAAGGGACTGATTCACCCCAGAGCCAGGCAAAGCACAGGCAGCAGTGACACAACCCCTTCCCCATCATCCAACCCCTTCCCTGAGCCTCCAACCACACATTTGCAGCTCCATCCTACAGATCCTGGTGGAACAAGCTCCGGATGCGCTGGACACGGTGCTGCATCTCCTGTGGTCCTGTTGCAAGGAGGTCACAGCCAGCAGACAAGAGGTTTCCTCTCCCCAAGCGTGAAAGCAGAGTGGATAAAACTAAGCCATGGCTGGGAATAACTGGGGATAGCCCCTTTTTCCTGTCCCTGGAGATGCACTTCCTGGCTCTCCGCCTGCAGTGGCTCCGTGCATCATTATCAAGCCAAAAGCAAGATACAGGGGGGGAGATGTTTCCTACATGATGGCTTCATGGAGGCATTTGTGTAGCCCGGATCCTGCTAAAGCCATCACTGCCACGAGTCCCTGCAGGAAACATCCCTGAGTCCTGGGGTCCCATCCTCACTGGATGCCCACCAGCTCCGTTAGGGGGGGAGCATGGACCATGAGCTCCTCATATCTCTGGAGGAAGAGACGGAGCCTGGAGGCGTAGGTATCCTCATTGTATGGCAGCTTCTTCTGCTTCAGGTACTGGGAGACGATGGGTTTGATCTGCAAAGGCAAAGTCATCCCTATACAGGCTGTGCGAGGTTCCCAGGCTGAGCTCCCACAGGGTGCTCATAAAACCCATCCCACATTCCCAAAACAGGGCTGGAGAAGGCAGCACCAGCCATGAGGATTAAGAGGAAGGTGTTTTTCAGTTAAAGCAACCCAGGGAGTTCACCCTGGCAAAACACCTTTGTAGGGGTCGGGATTAGGAGAGATGTCCTAATGAGACTTTTAATGAGGGCCACCCATGCACGCTCATCACTTGCACCCATGGTTATCCTCAGGTGCTCACTAGGGCTGGGAGGCTGCCACCAGCTTAATTACCACTTCCCCCTATGCAACACACCTCTATGGGGAGCAGGTTCTGCCAGCCCCATGAGCTCAGAGAAAGGCACAACCTAAAGCCCATAGTGCTCCTCCTCTGTCTATTCACTATTACTCATGTTCTCCCCCCAACCTGAGACTGAAAGCAAGCGCACAGCATTAAATGAGTGGACATCCCATGCTATAGGGCAGCACATGGGCCCCCCAAGGCAGTGTCAGAGTCCGTGTTCTGAATACACCCCACACCTCAGAGCAAGAAGTAAGGGCAAAACCAAGATTAGGGGAGGTTTGCCTGGGCTTCATCTGAACCAACAGTCAGACTGGGCAGTAATGGAGATGCTTTCCCCAAGGGAAGGGTTGGGAGGATCCCGGACTGGGGGTTGGCTGCTGCAGGCTGGAACTGGGAGCAGGAGAAGGGGCAAGGAGTGGAAAACCGGGAGAAATGGGAGTAGGAACAGAGGGAATCATGGAATCAGTTAAGTTGGAAAAGACCTTTAAGATCACCAAACCTCAGGACTGCCAAGACCCCCACTAACCCATGGCACCGAGGGCATCATCTACATGGCTGGTCCAACCTTCACCCATGCCATGGGCTGTCTCACCTTGAGGCACATGTTGTCGGAGAGGCTGGGGAAGAGGTGATGCTCCACGTGGCAGCTGATGAGCGAGTGGCCGAAGGACCAGTCGAGCAGCGCGTTGCGGGGCAGGTTGAGCACACCCAGGCTCATGAGCTGGATCCGCTTGGGCTTCCGATCGGCCGCGAACATGGGGAGCCCGATGTGCTGCGGGAGAGGCAGGGTGGGCACCGACAGCACCCAACACCCCCGGACCCTACAGAGCCAACCATAGCTCTGACCATGCGAGAGCATGAAGGTGTTCCTCACGCTGAGCCACCAGCCCCTCTCCATCCCAGCACCTGTAATAGCAGCGACACCACCACCAAACACACCAACCTCCCCAAACCCCACAAGCACCACAGGGGACATCACCCTCCAGCCCTCTGCACCGATGTTCTCCTATGGCCACCACTTTCCAACCGCAGCACCACCAGCCTGATCCTCCCCGTGATGACATCAGCACAAGAGAGGTGACAACCAAGCTTTACCCAGCAGTGTCAGGGCTGTGTCACCAGTGGAGGCTGACACATCCCCAGCACCATCAGGACATCCTGGAGCCTCAGGTCTCTACCTGGAATATGTTGACGTGGACGTAGGGGTGAGCCAGGAGGGAGCGGGTGAGCAGCATGCAGAGCAGGGCAGACCATGGCGACTGGAAGCCAGAGACATGGAGCAGCAGCCAGTAATGGCAGTAGAGCCCCAGAAACATGCAGCAGAGGGTCCGGAGAGCCGCTTTCCACTCCACATTCCTCAACAAATCTGCATAGGGAAGAAGCACCACATGGGAGAGGAGCTGACCCTTCCTGCCACCACTGCTGCTCCAGCAACCAGGCTGTGTTCTGATAACCCTACGTCTCATCCCACCCTCCATCTCCCTTTCCCCATCCTTCACACCGGCCTGACACCCCCAGCCTGGTGTTTGGGTCTCCAGGACAGGCTGCATCCCT